CATTGCTACTTCACTCTTCACGAGTGTATAGATGTTTTGAGGCTGTAATTCAATTATTAATAAAAAATGAGTCTCCTTTAACTTGAGTTCCATTAATTTCATTAACTGAAGCTAACTGAGTTCGAGGGTTCCGAAAGTATTCATTCGGGCGTTTACCACATTCTCTGATTACTTGGAGAACAGAGGAAGCATCATTCCGCATAAAGTGAGTGTTTCAATGAGTCGAGATTATATTACTTTATGTCAGGTTCTACGGGAGTCTACCTCCTATAGGAAGACAACTAAAAGATAACAGAATTTGAAATTCGAGGGGTCTCGGACCAGTCCAGAAATTGAAGTATTGGACTGGAGATCCGAACTATACGTATATATTCAAGGCACGACATTGAGAGGTCCGGGTGTCTCGGACGAAGATCCTGTTACACCAGGAATCATGTTCAGGAAGATGATCATGTCAGGGGAAGGGAAGGGGGGATCATTTCGGCTACAATTGAAACATTAGGGTGGGGGGAGTGTCAGGCGTAATAATATTTGAAGAATAGACATTTAGTTGGAGTGGAGCATGAATGTGTGAACGTGAACGAAACGATCGAGTTCATTCATGTGCAGGTTGGATTGAGAATGATACGAGATGGGATTCATCGAATATATGACAACATCTATGGACTTTCTCCTCAGAAGGAGTAACTTGTGCCGAACATAATCCTTTACGGACTAACTGATGACAGGAATTTTGGATATTGCATCTATCAAAGTGTTTGAATTTTTCGGTCATAGCAGTTGTGCTAGTGTGTGCAATTAATTTTTCGGCACGTTCTTTATTTTTGGCCATCGCATCGTCGGTTTTTTTACGGAGAAAGCTGCGAGCATGAATAATAACGATCAGCAGCGATGAAATGCGCGAGTGTTCAAGTTGTGCGGGTACCACCTTCGAATGAGTGGCTGAGTGGCGGTATCGCCTCCTTACCGGCCGTTTTCGATTCGAGTTCACTGACCGCGCGCTCCATTTTGGACTACCGCACCATGGCTTTGACGTACGCCGACACGCGACCTACAACTTTTTCAACATCTAAAATGGAAATCTAATGTTCACGCAAAATTATCCGCGATTTTTTTCTGCCTGTAGACGTTCTTAAGGCTAGTATACAATTGCTATATGCAACTACCTAGGTAGATTTATCCTAGGAAGGCAGTACTTATGCCAGTCCAAAAAAATGCGCATAATATAACATAAATTAACAGGTGGCATTGTCTGCACCTGTACCAAGCAAGCCTTGAATTAATAGATTATCCACCGCATTCGTCAGTCCTGCCCCCCCAGTAATCAGTTAATGGTATTAACATAATATTTAGGACAAAATAAAGTAAGTGTTTTTCAGTAATTGTATAGAATTTTTACCGGGAAACTGTTGCTAAATAACAGCAACTGATGTAAAAAGAAATTGTGTAGGAAAATAAAACATATATAAAGTAAATGCAGCTTTATTTTAAGCGGGTTAGGGGCTGCGCATAGGAATCAAGTCCCGCAGTTCACGAAAACTCGAGTATACCATAAAAGTTTGATACCTTGCAACTTTTTAATGTTTTATGAATTTGGCTCCAATATCATTGTATACAAATGTTCCTCCATTTCCTGACTGTATCACGGCCAACTAAGCATCGCCGCGCATTTTCTTTCCAAGAGTCCTTCCCACATCAACCTTGGCGCTCAACTGAGCCCCTTCGCCTTCGCGTTGCGGAAGGTCCTTCAGGCCTGAGAGACAAACAGCCAGTCGCAGTCTGAGCACCAGCCGGCAACACATTTCCAATACAGTTATTTTTCTTATTTGAATAAAAAGTAGGTATATGAGATCACGCGTGGCAGCTGCTGTTGGCGTACGGTCGTACGCATAAGGCCATCGATGGAGGTGGTACCGTGAGGTAGGCCTGCCAAGAGGTGGGGCAACAACGTCACTCTCCACAACGCCACACACCCAGGAGTCAACGGCCTTTTTTGATTTGCCCCGCAGACCACAGAGGACCATAAGCGTAAACACAATTGCGAATACTACCACTTAGGAAATAGTTGCTATTAAAATAGCACTACCCTAGTGACACGAAACGGGCAACCCAGAGGTTTTAGAACATGTGCTGAAGGTTTTGGGCAGACGTAGGTTTGACTGATTGTTTGTCATTGAAGAGTACCACGTTTAAGTGAAAGTGCACAAATTTTTACCTTCTGATTATAAGCAATACAAGTAAAGGTGAACTTTTCCAAAAAAACGTTATCATTTATTGACGAGTATAATTTCTACTACTACTAAACGTGGTACTGAATTTCCAAAATTATTGCTTTGGTACAGAAGGCACAATTCTGTCCATCGACCGACGCTTTCTCAAAAGTGCAGGAAAATTAGTAGAAGCATTTGTATTAGAGATAAATCTTTAAACTTTTTTGTTACTACGTAAAATCAATTTTCCTAAAGAAATTTTTGGTAGTTAATAATTTTTCAAAATCTAATTTGATATAGCTACAATAATGATATTTAGTATATTGGTGAGGTAGATCATGATTATTATTATCAATGAATTTGATATTCCGAGGATTCGACAGAGAGCAGTGTTACTCTGGTTGGATGTACAGCAATAATTTGCTTACACGATTTTCCGATATTAAGCTGTACCAAATAGCAAAATATGCTTACTTGATTTAGGAAAACGCACATTTTCATTGGGAAAATTAGATACAACTACAATTATTGTTCTGAGATTAGAGTAAAATTTCGTAAAATTTACCTATATTACTCTCAATATTCAAATTAGATTAAAAAGCGAGCTTGTTAACATTATCAAGATGACTATCCCGTTCAGTATTTCCTAAAATGCTCGGTTCAAAAATACCGAAATTCGATGTGGCGCGAAAGGCACAATTACATAAAAAGAAAGTAAGCATCACACGTACGTACCGAGCTGAAATCGCCTCCAAAAACGCAATTAGTGCCACCGATACCCGACATTTTGCCGAAGAATATTGACATTTCGCTCCAGTTGGGTGAATGGCCGCGCTTGACTAAGTTCTTGTAACGTGAAATCGATGCGCATGGCGAAATGTGTCGTCATATGACCCTCTGATTTAAATCGCTTATCATCTTTTGATGTTATGGGATTGCATGAGAAGAAGTATGTTTCGATATTTTTTAAGAGCTATAACATGCCTCAGTTCTGAAAAAAAAGACAAATATCAGACCATATAATAAATTTTTAAATGTATTTACATTATGCGCTATCAAATGTTTTATTTATAAAAGAAAAAATGGAATTAGCTGAGAGACACAAAAGTAAAAGCCTTTTTCTACCATGTACCTTTTTTTCATATTTTAGATGTGAATTGAAAAAGATTTCAATAATTTCCAGTAGCTTTCGACACCAAATAATATAATTGCAGAATTGATATTCTTTATGAAACCCATTAAAAATATGTTCGTACTTAATTATTATCACTCTGTCCTCGTTGGTTATACTTTTATAAGCCAGAGCGCGAGACAAAAATGCCATTCAATGATTTAGTGACTGCGTAGTTATTCTCAGTATGGAATACGTTTTAACGCTTTTCAGAATCTGTCCTATACATAAGGTGATTGTCACGTGTTTCTTAGAAGATGTTGACTGTTTTTTGATGTTTCATGTTTCATATCACTAGCATATTGCATGCTGCAGTCTCATGTTTTACGTAGTAGTATTTCTTATTTTATCTAGTTTGCATATCTGTGGATGCAGTGATATATACAAAGATCAGGTTTTGTTTTCGACATGGTGGTTTCCATAAAGTCACTTCTATTTAAAATTTAAACAAAGCAATAATTGAAAAAATGCATTAGTACCAAAGGTTACCAATATTTCGAAAACATTCTAAGCACAATGTTGGTAAATATGAATGAGATTATGCATTTTATAAATTGTTTAGACTATGCCTTTAAGCTATTTGAAGTCGTGAGTATGTAATAATCGCATCTTTTTTGCAAATTTCCATTATCCTTTTAATAGAATCATTTTTTCTTGAATCGCTGAACCATGCTAAAAAAATTCTTGCAATGACCTAAAAACTACCTATTAGCAACTATAAAAAGTACAGATCCATTATCTTGAGTTTAACGAAAGGTAAAAAAGAATCGAAACCCTTTTCTTACTATAATGAGAGACCGTTGCATACGAAATCGGCCAACTCTCGTATTTTGCAATAAAAATTATGGTTTTACTTCCAACCTTTGAGGTCACAGAACCAACCTCTTTTTTCACTTCGATTACATGCTCACTCTGCAAAGAGAGTGGCTTGACCTGAACGTTATACAGAGTGGATCAATCTCACTATTGCCGTTTTTACGGAGTTCCTCAAATGTAGGTGGCTAATGTGCATTTTAAAAAGAGTTATACCATTAAATAACGTGTTCTCCAAAAAGATTGTATTTGAATGTTATATGTATATAAAATACAATTGTCATTAACACAGCCATGTTGACAGATAGAGTCGAAATTGTGGAAAAATCTGCATGAAGAGGCTTTTCCCAGTTCTACTAACCTTGGGCAGCTCAAAAATCGGATTAAAAGAGTGTCCTCAAGCCCGCGGTTGCTTCAGTATAAAAAAAATGTAGTTGTATGCAGAAGTGGCTGGTGGCACCATGGTACGTATGCTTATTTTCGCGCAGACACGGGTTTCAGTTGAATTAAATATATTCTGCTGGAGTATATTAATAAATGTTAGAACTTTGTTTAATGATAGAAAAATTGACTAAGATTTGGTGCAATTTGTCTTGAAAGCTAATAAAGTACTTCAAAAAATGATGAAAGTGTATTCCAGTATCATTCATCAGTAACTTCAAAACTGGTGAAAGAGCCAGAAAGTGCCATGTGGTGTAACGTCCAGAAAACATAGAGGAATAACCAGAACAAGAAAGAGTCGAAATCAAGTTTGTTTTCATACTTGAAGTGAGTGTGAAGTGAAATAAGATCTGTTTTCAACTTACCTCTCGTCCTTGATCCTCTGATGAGGGGCCTTTCTCTAAGGGTAACTCTAAACGTACTAGGGCTAAGCGTAACGCCGGCGATGCCTCTGCGCGTTGGCAGTTTTTCACCTTCAGGAACTGATAAGTCGAAACAGTGGAGTAACGATGAGAAGAATAGGAACAATTCCATCCTGAAAACAAGAAAACATCTCAGTACTTATCGTTATTAAAGAAAAAAAAATGGCCCTCTATCTTTTGTGTATGTATGTACTACTACTTCTGAAAATTGCTGAAACTAGAGAGTCTGATATAGAAAAATGTTTATAGTGCATTAGGAGAGTAATACTAATCCAACATAACGTTATTTGAATAACGTAATATTTTATTCTTGTTCAGTCTCATCAATGCCGTAGGAATTACAACATCAAGTATCTTGGTAACAGAACATTTTAGGACGTATGTTTATAAATTTTTATTGTTATTCTTGGATGGACTTTCGACTCTAGAGTTTCATCTAAATCATTTAAGTAATTTAAGAGAAATTAAAGATATCAGTATTAGAATTAACTTGAACTTGGATTTTTGTGGTCTATCAGATGATATATTATAAACCTGAAAAGCGTATACATAAAAAACAAATTGAAAAAAAATAATAAAATTCCAATGTGGCCAAAATTAAAGCGTATTCCACTAAACATTGAAAAAATACATGCAGGAGAATCGGGTTCTGAGGTTTAAATCTAAGGTCACATCAAAGGCCAAATTGGGCATTTGCGAAAATTTTTAGGAAGTTGATTATGAAGATTCATATACTCGTATATATGTTGTATCATTCGGTCAATTTTGAAGACCTAAGATATTACTCTTAATGTATTTTCATCCTATACGATAATATTTATGGGGACTGCATACAACATTTTTGTACTAAATCTGATTCTGAGTAATTCAAAGAGCGTGCTTTCATATTCTGGAAAACAGTTTAATACCGTGCAAAGGCTGACTGAGCAAAGCTATTTCCTAGAGTGTTGGGCGCCTTAGGAGAATCGAACAATGTGCATCTTCTGTATCCTACATGAAATTACTTACAAATTCTAGACCACTCTGTAGACCTACCTTGCTAGAACTTCCCCCAAACACATTCTCCTGCCTACTCCGAATGGCAGGAAGTAGTCGGGTTTGCACACTTTCCCCTCCGCGTTGATGAACCTGGAAGGATTGAACGTATCAGGGTCATTCCAAAGGGTTGGATCCATATGGACGGCATGCAACAGAGGGATGATCTGCGCGTGCTGAGGCAGGTGGAAACCGTTTAGTTTCACGTCTCTGGAAGAAAAAAGGATTTGTCAATGACGGATGGTTGAGATAACCTGGAAAAAGAAAATATCGAATTAGTGTTGGCTATGTCAAGATAATATTTCATACAGGGCTCTACTCTGCCAAATAAGTTTACAAAACGTTTAATTTCTATGGTAATAAATAAAATTTCAAAATACATTTTTAAGTTTTTATTAATTTTGTTAATAAAATGAACTAAAAATTTAAAAATATGTTTTCTTATTGAAAATATTTCAGCGATAATGAATCTTTTTTATCTCAACTTTTCGGATAAAGGCATGTCACAACAGTTTTCCATCCTGCTGTCAAAAAGTAACAGACTTTTATTTGAAAACATGTAATAAAGGAGCTTCATTATCGTTTAAATATTTCAAATGAGAAAAATGTATTTAAATTCGTAGTTCATTTTATTAACAGCTAAATAAGAACTTGTTTTTAATATTTTTTTATTTTATCAACTTTTTACTTGTTTGTATTTATAATGTCAAATAACTAGTTTGGTAATTTCTATATAATTTTCATATATTTCTTAAATGACTTCATAAAACTTCTAACTTTATTTGGATTATAAAATTTTTAGGTGTAGGTCATATGATGATTAATCAACATTTTGCTGGGATCGCCATATGGAATTTAGACGTTATTTGCTTATTATGTTTCCCTCATCAAGCCCTTTTATAGTATAGGGGTAACTATGGAAATTATGAATCGCGATTTTTGCGGTGACCACCATATTATTATTAGACGCCATCTTAGGGCGGTCGCCGTATTGGCTTCAAAATGACGTCAATTTGTCATATCATAGGGATGACTGAGAAAAATGTAAATCGCCATTTTGCTGGGTCTGCCATATTGGATTTGGAATGACGCCACTTTGCTTATTACATTTCTGTCATCAAGCCGTTTCATTTCATACCCATATCATAGGGATAAATATGGAAATGACGGTTCAAAATTCAGTTCCAAGATTTGTCCCACTGATGCTACATATACTAACAAACATGTCAAGTTAAAAAACAACCTTGTAAAAAGGTTCGTCAGATATTTTTCACATAGTCACACGAATTCAAAAGATCCAGTTTTTATCGAATAGATTAGGTCAAGTTTGAGGAATTCAATTGGGGACATATGTGGATTGCAAATTAGCAAATATCTGAGTTCCGGAAACTATACAAGAAAAGGTCCAATGGGATCAAATTCTACGACTTTTGTGGATGTAATGCCACCTGAAGTCAGAAATATTTGCCAATAAGCTGTCCGACTATAACTCAAAATCAGCAAGATCCATACGAGAGATTTATAAATAATTGGATTCATCCGACATCCCGGCAGTTGACTGAGCTTTATCATATTCCATTCAAATTTCCATGGTAGCACCTTTCTAAAAATAAAGAATTTCATTCAAAATGGAAGAACATTTATTAAAAAACCGATATTTACAATCTTTGATACGTTTTTGAAAGTTTTGTGTTTTGCAAATTGGTAACATTGCAGCGGCCGCGATTTGGTATTTCAATAACCAAATTCGCAGAGCTTTCAGAAAAAAAGAAACACGAAAACGTAGATTACGCAAAAATATCAGTGGTCATTGTCTTTATTCAAATATGGTTTTGTGCGGATTGCATTACGAAATGAGAAATCGTCCTGATCAAGCGACGGACGTCTGCTACTCTGTTGTATGGGACAACTGATCAAGACCAGTTCAGTCCACACCACAGCCAGGCGCACGGTTCGTTGACCGAAAAATATAAATAATTTTTAGACTTTCACTTTTTTCGGAGGTGACACGCGCCTGATGGGCCTTCAACTTCATAAATTGAGCTCCAGGCAATGTTGCCGAAGCCACAAATTTTTCGGTATTTCTACCGAAATGAGACCTGATCCACCAAAATACCGAAAACGTCTTTCACGATTTATTAAAATAATTTATTCAGACGAATTATATGTAGTCTATGTAGTTTCATGCGTCATAACAGTAATACATAAGCGTACACTTAGGAAGTCGGGCACACGAGGGACATAAATTTGGACTGGTTACAATTATGTACAGACATCGTAATAAGAAGACTAGAGCTCGTCTGTATCCAATTGAATATTAAATTAAATTGCCAGGCTTCAAAATTGATGGATAAAACCGAAAAATATTAAGAATCTTATAATTAAAAATGGCTCACTGTATAAGTTGTAATAGAGATCTTGAGATGTTCTAGGAACAAATACCCTCAAAAAACCTGTGTTTAGCCCGCAATACAAAAATATACTATGATTATAGAGTGGGCTTGATCTAGTGATTTTTCCTTCTACCGATTTTGTCATTGAATGCACCAAACTTTAACACTGTCTACCGATTTCGTCTTTTTCGGTTCGGCAACACTGGCTCCAGCGAATCTGGGGTATACCGTTAGCCACGCGATTTGGAAGCTACAAAGCGATTCTGAAGATGTCGCATTGAAAATTGGAGACACGGCATTCAACAGTGGTACCATCAACACTTCAAACATTCCTATTACCCTAGATACAAAATGTCGTCAAATCAATTAACTCCGTGCTTCCCACGCAATTTTCAACAAATGAACTTTGTAGATGCATCTGTGTAGCATCTGAGAGCTTTTGTACGCTATGGTATCTTTATTGTTTGCAGGTTATGAAAATCCTTGTACCCTGGCATAAGGCCGTAGAGTAGAATGAATATCAGTGAAAGTCAAAGCATTGCAAAGCAATCGAGGACAATTCTCGTTCGTCCTGATATTATTTGCTTGAGAAAAAGATACTAAAAATAGATAAGATTCTTCTATTCGTAAATTTCACTGCTGAATAAGCACATCACTAATGTTGTCACCCTATATGATTATTTATATTCAATAAATTATATTGCGCCGGTAGACGCAATTGTTACATCGCTGAGGCATCGTTGGCGTTTTCTCAGCCGTTCAGTTCAACGCGTGGGTCGCAAGCGCGAGCAGCGGCCAGTGCGCTTCATATACGAAATTTTCCAGCATTCTGAGTCTTAAATAATACATGTGTGAAATATGCTTAATAGGCGCGTAGAATTGCTAGGCTTAGAAGTTAATAAATATATTGTGACAAAAAATAAACCCTCCTCCACCACCATACAACACTCAGCCTCCAATTTTTTATGAGCTCCAGTAGTCATGGTTAGTAAGTGTCAATTGCACTACAAGAAGGTTACTATTGCAACCAAAACGTCATACAATAAAGAGGAATTTTAAACAAAAAACTATAAATCCAAAGTATTTCTAGGCTTACACTTACTATTAACGTTTTTCTTATTTTAGCGGGCTGAATTTGTCCTTCAATTTCATTTCATACATCCAATATAAAGTTCAGCCATATTACAATAGTACATGTCCTTTATGCAGAACAGAGTGTCAGGTTACAGAAGTAAATCTTGATTTTTATTTTATTACTGTCCATCAACAAGAGGCAAAATATTCGTCTCTAGACGACAAATTCGCACGTGTGTTGTCAGAATGTCTATTGTGCAACTAACATATGTTTAATTTACGTAATCCCAATATTTATTGAAGCAGGTGTACTCGTATTTTGTAAATAACAATCTAAAAGTGTTCAAATATTGGTATTAGGTAATTTGGCCAAATAGTAACAGCACTTCTTGATGATGTTTATCTTTCTGATAACACAAACTGGGTCAAGTTTATAGACAACGTCATTGGAACGTGTTCATTTTTTTTTTTTTAACTAAAAAGTGCTTACTTCGTATTACTTTCAAAGCGAGAAGGCTTTAATGTCTATTGTTATTATTTTGAGCTGTACGATTGAGAAAATATTTTTTCTTCAGTTGAGGTTTCCCTAAATAACAAATAACTATTGCATTGCAAATATTCATTAAAGTCAAATAAAAATAATCTAGGAAGCATGGAACAGCATATTTGGTAAATGATCTACTGCACTATTTTTGATAACATTGCAATAATATTGTTACGCATATCAGATAGCATTTTGCAGATACAGTATCTAATTTAGGCCTTTAGTGCTTCGAAAACAACTGACTTGTTGGCATACAACTGTGGCCAGATATCCCAACATAATTAGATTCAAAGGTGTTCAATTAATAGGGCGTTATGTCGAGGGTTTTACTTACTCCAAACTCACTTTCATAAAATTTTTTTTATAACACCAATCCATGTCACACAATCACCTCACTAAAATCGTAACTAAAGCTTAGCAATGTCAATGTATGAGATTATATATTTTTGGAATCAAAATTGAAAATCCTATTCACCTGTGAAAAATTCCAATATGGCGTCTCTAAGAAAAAATAGAGTTGATGATTGAGGACAAGAGACGAAACGTCATATTGAAATTCTAATTATGCCACCTTATAGAGGAGAAAAGGTGGCAATGTTAGTGTACTTTTTATTTTGAAATCTCATCTCATAAAGTCAGGAAAAAATAAAAACGATCTTGAGAAAATTCGGCACAGGAATTATGTAAAAAACTCTATAAAACGTCAAAAAAACCTATAAAATGTCATCTTGCAGACTAGGTAGTTTTTAGGGTGCAAACAGTCATTCCCCGTTTGCTCACTAGGATCGTTGTGAGCGTTCATCTATGGATGAACGACTCAACTAAACTACACGCATTGTTGGTTGCATATGTTTTGTGGTTTGTAGTTTTTATCTCTGAGAAGAAAGTTGCTTGAATAGCAAGATCGCATGATTATGTTTATTGGCCTGCATGTGTATAAAATCAGTGATATTTGCCGTGTGAGAAAATCATTACTGAATATGCTGCCATGAAGTATATATATTAGCTGTGCCCGACGGGATATTTATATGTTGTCTTTTCTGAAGACAGGTTACGTTCAAAGTTATAAATTTCGAAAACTTTAGAGGAGCATTACGGGATATCACCACCGCGCCCGCGTTGTGTGTAATTTCTCTTAGCATGTATATGACTTGTAATTCGATAGTGTGCAGGGAATATAATTCTCATCTATCTCATTT